TATTTAATAGTAGTTAATAAATTATTTATTAAATACGATTTATTTAATGTTACATTAACTATTAATAAATATACTTTATTCCCAAATAAATATTTATTGAATGTAAAAAAATATTTATTAAACTTGTCTTCAAAGAAATTAAAATATTAATAGTTAATAAATCCTTCCATCAGTGTATTGGTAAAAAACAGTGACTTAATATATGTATGATAAGATATATATTTTCAAAATATCTGTATAATAATTATTATTATTATATTGTATTCATTTGTTTATTATTTGACTTACCTTTCACAATAATGAAAAAGGTATATTTATTAAACTCGTACACGCTTTCGTTTTGATTTAAAACTATTTTCAAAAAGCGTTAAGTACAATATATACAGGTACAGTAATGGCCGTTGTTGGCGGGAGATCACAACACGTGTTTATTTATATGAGATCACCTAATTAACTAATAGTTAAAACTGTCTTTATCAGTTATTAATAAAATGTGAAAAAATAATTATTGCACTGGAAATTAATAATAAATTCAGGGTGAGAGTAAAATTAACGTAATAGATGCACAGAAAAATTAAAATAATACGTATAAGTCACTGCTACGATCGATACACAAATGAAACCAAAAAAAAATGGCCGAAAACTGTATATTGAGGAAGACAGGAGACCGGCTTCCTTCTCACAGTAATGGCCGTTGCTGGCGGTAGATCACAACACGTGTTTATTTATATGAGATCACTCAATTAACTAATATTTAAAACTTTACATTTAGGGGGATGAAAAATAGATGTTGTCCGATCTGTCCCAGCGAACTTCGTACCGCCATAAAAAAATAGGGGTTGGTGGTAGAAAGGTGAAAATTTAGGGTTGTATGTATTTACTAATGCTGTATCATAAAAAAAATAAAAACAATCTAAAATTGAAAAAAAGAATTTAGGGGTGGATTACCCTTAACATGGTGGACTTAGGAATCAGTATTAATGGCCAAAGTCTAAACCACCTTAGGTTCGCCGACGACTTAGTGCTAATTACTGACAACCCTGAATCGTTGCAATTAATGATGCAAGAGCTTGCCACAAAAAGTAGAGAGGTGGGGTTGTTGACAATTAACAGGTCAAAAACCAAAGTCATGACAAACAGGTTAGAAACCAACATCTATCTGAATGAGGAAAAGTTGGAGTATGTAAAATCGTACATTTATCTTGGACAGCTTGTATCATTTCAAGACCAGATGGCACAGGAAATCGACAGAAGGATCGTTAATGCTTGGAAAAGGTACTGGTCTCTAAAAGATATCATGAAGAATGCCCACTACACCATATCAGTGAAAAGAAAACTCTTTAACACATGTATCTTACCAATACTAACATATGGTTGCCAGACTTGGGCCATGACACAAGCACTGCAAAACAAATTAAGAACGTGTCAGAGAGGCATGGAGAGAAGCATTCTTGGATACAGAAGGAGTGACAAGAAGAGAGCTACCGACATCAGAAAACGCACAAAAATTGAGGATGTCATACAAAAAAGTAGGCAACTCAAATGGAAGTGGGCAGGTCACGTCACAAGAGACGAAATAGGGAAGTGGACAAGGAAGACCACGGAATGGATCCCCAGAATGAACACTTACCGTAAACGTGGACGACAGCTGAAAAGATGGTCAGATGACATAAGAAGGGTAGCTGGCCCGCTATGGCTGAGGTTAGCAAGGGATAGATCGGGGTGGAAAAGGCTGGAGGAGGCCTATGTGTCTGCAGGACACGCTGAATTATAAGTGAAGGTTAATGATGTGTATTTTATGAAATTATCAGCAATAAAGGCATTTGTATTTGTATACCCATTTAGGGGGATGAAAAATAGATTACATCCGATTCTCAGACCTACTGAATATGCATATAAAATTTCACGAAAATCGGTCAAGCCGTTTCGGAGGAGTTTAACCACAAACACCGCGACACGAGATTTTTATATATTAGATTATAAGTAATGGTATTGTTTTATTACTTGAAAATAAGAAGGGCTTGTATGTAATAAATATATAACACTAGTGGCCCGCCCTCGCTTCGCTTCGGTGTAAAGCTGTAGTGTAGACTATAGATTTTGTTCTCAGGCTTGTATTTATACACAATGACATTCTTCTAATACCCAATATAGGCACGCGCCGCCAAGCCCGGTAGCGTCGGAACCGCTATGTCCCTGAATTTTAAATTTGTAATATCTTCGAAAATATTCATTTAAATTATATGCGTTAAAGGGCCAAATTGTTCTATATTAAATGCACAATGTATTTAAGGTACTTAATTGGATAAGGATGAATGTTATATTGCTTAAAATCGCTTCGTAAATAATCTATTATTTCTCGTAAAAAGTATAGGATAAAAATTGGTTATTGTGGGTTATCCTTAAAAAAGTCCACGATGGTATATGTCTATCTCAGACATATACCATCGTGGACTTTTTTGTAGACCTTTTTAAGGTGTACAATACTGTAGTACATTATTTTGATCTATCTCGTGGGGTTCAGCCAGCGTTTGCAATGTAAGCACAAAAACTGTGTTTATTTACAACCTTACATTAAAAACCTCTAAAATTATCAGTGTTTCTCTACTATATTATGCATGTATTATACATATAAACCTTCCTCTTGAATCACTCTATCTATTAAAAAAACCGCATCAAAATTCGTTGCGTAGTTTCAAAGATTTAAGCATACAAAGGGACAAAGGGACATAGGGACATAGGGACAGAGAAAGCGACTTTGTTTTATACTATGTAGTGATATTACAAACAAGCTCTTCTTATTCAAGGTCTAAATAATGTTATAAACTTAAAGTGCCACAATGAATGAGTGAAAAAATTAATGAAACACTGAAATAATTTCACTTTGCTGATTGCTATAAGTAAAATGCTAAATTAAAAAGAACCTTATTCCTAAATGATTTTTAGTAGACTAAGTGCTAATGTTTAATTATGAAACTCGCATTTGAAAAGGCGAAGCATTGACACAATTTTATTAAGTAATTCGCTATGTAATCAGTCTTTAAAAAAATTATCTTCATTCTTAAAATACAACATAATTCTATATTATGATAATTATATTACCAATTGCCATTTAATCATTATCTTTATCTATATGAATAAAATTGAATTATAATTGTGCATAACATTACGTGTTAAAGTAATAAAAACTTTTAGTACAGAATTAAGTCACTGTTCACATTAACTACACATCACACGCATTATATTGACATTTGATGTTTGATTGCAACTTTGCAAGTGTGTATAGCTACTAATAAAACTGTATCCACTGAGCAGCAATTTCACATTTACCTATTGTCAAATCTTTATTAGTGGACACATTTTTGTTTATTAATATAAATAATGCGTGCAAGTTTTAAGCAATGTTAAAATACACAATAATCAATCAATTTTAATAATGGAAGTAAACTCTTTAAAACTATCCAACTTTATTATGCTGAATGGTTCTGAGCACTTGCTCAATTACTTAACTTACTTGATTATTACTTAATAATCAGTTAAAATTATCAGACCGTCAACTTCTTAAATGGTAAATCTAGAGCATTTTACAGCACACACAGTATAATTTCTAATGTTTTAAATTAGCAATCAAAATAACAGATGCTAAAGCATATATATGTATAACCATACCAGAGCCAATAAGAATAGCCCAATGTGAGGACAGGTTGTTTAGACCAACTAATTCTTCCATGGTGTACATTATAAGACTGTAAAGCTAGGGGAAACATTGTAACTAAATATGGTTAATTAAAAAGCAGCATTAATACTTTTCAGAGAACTTTACATAAAAGTTATTTTAAAATTTTAATCTTTGACGTCACAGCAGCAGTTTCAAAATATAAGAAACATTTAGAAGTAGGTAATTGAATTAATTTCATCAGGATACACAGGATATTAATAATATTTGCAGAGAATCAGAAATCAAAATACTAAACTAGTAATGAGTTACTCATCAACATTAAAATATGTCCATGTCGTGGCCATATGGTAGATTTGATCACTTCATGAAATGACAATAAACAAGTTCTTACATATTCTGGATTTTTAATAAATATTTTATGGACACCTTAATTATACGATCCAGCCAAATTTGGATGACAAAATCGATAAATGTTGACGATTTAATGATCTGGTCAATAGTTAACTCATGAAGTTTGCAATTAGATGAATATGTAGATTAGATTAGATTTCTTCAGTGATGGCTCCCTCAGGATTTGGCCAATATCTGGTCTTTGTGTCCAAAATTTCTTGTCTAGGTTTGTTCGGTGAGGGCTTGTTTATTGTTTTAAACTCTGCTTATGCTGTGGAAGGGCTTTGTGCAAGTACAAGAACCTAGGATTAGGGAAAAAGGATAGGGGAAAACAGAAAGGATAGGTTAAGGTATAGTATGTTGAGCTGACTAAAGATGAATTTGTAGTTTCCATTTTAAACTTGTGACTTGAGATTTGGTCTTGTTGAAAAAACCAGAACCAGTGGTATATAATATAATTTGCAATTGAATAGAATTTATTAATAACACAAAAATATTCTAATAACAACATAATATTTATAAGTTATAATACATTAATATTCTTCAAACACTATTTATATTAAATGGTTTAATTTATGCTCACGATTGCTATTCCAATTAAACAATAGGTTAAAACCTTAATCTGTCATAAATGTATGTAGTAATTCTTTCATATTCTTATTTTCTACTAATTAGTCCTTGTACAATTATAAATACAGTAAAATAATACAGCAACTTGGTGATATTATTTCATAAACTGATTTAAATATTAATAAAAATTATATCCCACAGCAGATATAATAAACAGTCCATGAATTAAACAACCACTGGCAGTTATTTTCATTTAAAACATTTTTAAAAAATCATTCGCTATGAACTTATGATGTGCAAGCTATTTCATATTTTTTACATTATGAAAAATTCGCTTAATATACAAGAAAAAAATACATACCTGTCTGTTTTGTGGTACTCTTCAAATTCAGGGTCTTCCCAAGGATCTATCTGCCCTGCAAGATTCTCTCTTCCTCTTTCGTATCTCTGGAAGATACGCTCCCGCTCCTCGGAAGCCCGTGCCAACAGAGCCTCCTCATTCATAACACAGCCTGAATTTGCCACATTCCGAAAGATCTAGGTACGCAAACACCTTTGACAACTCTACAAAATATGCACTCCTATCTTCTTCGTACACTCTTGACGACATAAACTATCTAGAAAGAAACTGCATACGCCCATTTTCTTTTTACAATCATCATCACGCCCTAAATTTGTAAATTCTCAGACGCCAGTTCGTTTGACGTTCCCATGTCATGTCATTTTTCTACCGAGCCAAGAGCAAAATATCGGTAGAACTTCCCAACGAGTAAGCTACAGTGAAAACCACACTTAATCGCACTATTAATTTTAGTTTAATATTTTCACAGTATTAGCTTTTTAAATGCTTAATTGCCTGATTCGTCTCGTCAATGCCTTTAACCCAATGTTTCAAATTCATAAATTTACTAAACGGAAGTTCCGTTTCTACAATCTACGTTGCACTTCGTGAGCTTGGAAACCGGTTATTAGAACCTCAGTGGTGAAACGAAACGAAAAGATACAAATGGTGTCGATTCTGACATGATTCTCTAAATTTAAACTTAGGGTACGGCCAGAGTGCACTCAGATTCAGATTCAGATTCAGATTCCGAAAACAAGCGCGAGAAATAAACAGTGTAGTTAAAGCAGGGTGGCCATAGTGGCCGCAGGCAACCTGCTTAAACTACACTGTTTATTTCTCGCGCTTGTTTTCTGAGTCTGAATCTGAATCTGAATCTGAGTGCACTCTGGCCGTACCCTAAAATTTGACAACAGTGTATCCTTGTCATTCTCGATACAAAATGAAAAGAGAGACTGATATTAAATTTAGTTTTAAGTTTAGATAATCATGCTAGAATCGACACCTATGTCTTTAAAAGTCTTGGCGAGTTTTGGCGCGATCAATGGGTGCACTGAGCAAGTTATGTATACGGTCCTTAGAGCATATACTAATGGAGCTGCCCTTAGATTATAACAAAAAGAAGATACGGTACGCTCTACAAGCATGAAATAAAATATGCTCCGACTCATCTACAAAGCAACTCTCACACACGCACAGGTCTGTAAATAAACATTCAATCGAGCGAGCGAGACAGAACTGGATATTTCGGACTCGCAAACGATTCAAATTCAATTTTGGTTCGTGCCAAGGGATATTGTATAATCAGAAATATATTTGTCAGTCGGTTTTGTTTCATACGTTTAGTACGGTTGGAATGAGTACGGTGTCGACACATTGCGGCACACCACACCGCGACGCAGAAATATAATTGTAACCATACTAAGGCCCGTACTACAGAATGACAACTAAGTGTTGATCTTTACTTGAGTACAGAAAGAGATATCGCTATGTGCTATATATAGCGGCATCCCTTTCTAACTATGCTCAAGACTAGATCAATAACTGCGAATCTTTCTATAATGCGGGCCTAAGTGTATGAAACCGATATCTGTCCAACACGACTTTCCGGCTTAAGATTTTTCCGTCAAAAATTCACAACCATAGATATAGACAGGGCCGGATTTAAGTCTACAGGGATTATTTTAGTCCTTTACTGTAGCAAAACTAGTCCTATAATTATAATCGCCTATTTATACGAAGATGACAAACTAGCTAGCTTAACGTACTTATTATAATTAAATAATTTACAAAATAAAAAATGAATCACCCCCAACGCCGCCACGGCAAGGCTGATCCGTTGGCCAAGATAGCTGCCAGTCTTTTGATCATCAGAAATTTCTAAATCGCCTTTATATTGATTGTTCATAATATAGATCGATGTGCCTATAATTTGTTTGTTTTTATTTTTTATAAATTAGAGATCTACTCTTAGATATTTTAAAATCTATTCTTAGATATTTTATCAGAAGTGGGATAGAATTACACTTACCACGAAGTTGTTAATTTTATCGAACATTCTGACAATAAGTTATAACAACCAATAATTATTTTTATTTTATGTCATAAATCAATTTGATAATTATGGGCAAATCAAAGCTTTCGCGTTCACGTACACGTACTCCTAGTCGGGAACGTCATCGATCGCGTGATCGTAGAGTTTCAAAAAGTAAACGTAGACGTACACAATCAAGAAGTGATACTATACGTGAGTCATTAAACACTATCACGTCCTTCGTTCAACGAATGAACTCTATAGAGCGTTCTTCCCGTGACACAGTGTCACACAGTGCCGCTGAGGTGATCGCTGACGCGATAAAGGCGATCAAGCCGAGCTCAAGTACGGCCCATTACTATGTTTCAAGTTTCGATCCAAATGTTAACAACGTCGATGCTTGGTTCGCGGAAGTAGATAAGGCAAAGTTTAATAATAGTTGGACTGATTTAGAATGTTTGTCAAGAGTGGGTCATTGTTTAAAAGGCGATGCTAAATCATGGCTTGATGAATGGGTTTCTGAGGATCGTTCATGGACAAACTTTAAAAATGATTTCAAAGCTTTGTGTGTAAACAAAATTGATATCGCGAACATACTTTTTGACGTTATGCGAACCGATTCGGACAATTATAAAACTTATGCGGAGTACGCGCGTAAGTCATTACTAAGATTAAAAATAGTGCGCGGTCTAAGTGACGAGTTAATAACTGCGATTATATTGCGGGGACTCAAGGATCCGCATGTTAAGGCCACAGCAACAAATGCAAATTTATCTCCTAATGAGTTAGTGAATTTCTTATCGGTGTTCGTAAAATCCGATATGAATACTAGAAAACATGACGCTGATAGTAGTGTATCTCACCGTATAGGAAAGTTTAATCGGATTAAACGTGCTGACACTTGGGTCCCGAGCAAAATAAAATGTTTTAGGTGCAATGGCATGGGTCACAAGCAGAAAGATTGCTCGCAGTCAGAAACAACGAAGCCTAGTGTTTCCGCAAGAAATTCTGGTAGTTTAGGCAGCGATAATATTTGTTCCTTCTGTAAGAAACCAGGTCATAAGATAGATAAATGCTTTGCAAAACAAAAAGCCGACTAGATTCAAATACATTTTTATGAAACTCCATTAATTTGTAACACAAACATTGTCACAGTTACTGTAATTCAGGGCATTCCTGTTGATATCCTTATCGACAGTGGAGTGCTAGATGTATTGTTTATCTCTATAGATTTTCCTCAATCGTAAATCATTTTATTTGTAAAAGTTAACTTATATTCCGCGAACTAAAAGGTATAGGGAATTCCATTGCAAGGTAAATTTTACGTGACCTTCACGTTGCGGATTTGCTAATAGTTCCGTCCGAGTGCATGAATGCACCCATAATAATCGGAACTGATGTTCCAAATCACGACAGTATAACATATATACGCACAACAAAAACGCACAACGTTTGACATACGCGCCAGCCAGCAAGAGTCGCGTCGTTAAAGTCGAATGAGCAGTCTTATAGTGTAAGCACCTCTCTGTCGGGTGACTATTATAAAAAAACTAATTACAATATTAGAAGAATTTTCTGATTCCATGATATCAGGTACTGCCACATTCACTGTAAATGTGGGCAGTATGCACATTCGACTAAATTCCGACGTTCCGGTGTACTATCGTTCGTATAAACTGTCACACGAAGAGAAGTTAAAAGTTAGGGAAATAATTAAAGATCTGTTAGACAAAAGGTTAATCCGCGAATCGGATTCACCATAAGCAAGTGCAATTATATTGGTAAAAAAAACGGTTCGGATCGTATGTGTATCGATTTTAGAGCTTAAAACAAAATGACGCAAGTAGTGCAGGTGTAGGTGCAGTACATATACAAATTCACGAAAATAGACAAAAACGTGTAGTTGCCAACTATAGTCAAGTTATGCAAGGAGCAGAATAACGATATCATTCCTACGAATTGGAAACTCTCGCCGTTATTAAAGCATTGCGTAATTTCAGACAGTATTTGATTGGCATAAAATTAAGTCATAACTGACTGCAATGCATTGAAAGTCACCCAAAATAAAAAGGACGTCGTACCGCGAGTAGCTAGATGGTTGATTTATTTGCAGGATTTTCAATTTAATATTGAGTATCGCAAGCGGTTAGTGCTTTATCAGTTAGATGTAAAACGATGTGTAGGCTTCATCAGTTAGAGGAGGGCAGTTAGATGTACAACGATATGTAGTTCGGAATTATGTTCTTTATTACCGTAACGTACTACTAGGGAAGGTAACATGACTGATGTGTTACATTCCCAAGGGGTATCGTCTGAGCTTGCTCAGAGCATTTCATGACGAACATGAACACATCACTGCTAAAAAAAAAACGATTGACTTGATAAAACACTTTTGGTTTCTGGAGATTTTCAGGCAAAAGAGTGCCAAGGGTTCCTTTATAGCCAATCACATCTTGGACCTAATCTAACCTTCCTTTTCATAATTTACATGTTAATGTATTAGGAACATTACCTGAATCCACCGGGTATAAAACTTTTTTTCATAGTAATAGATGCCTTTACTAAATATTGTTTGTTGTATCCTATACATAGACAAGATTTTGAAGAGTATATTCAAAAAATGTAATAGGTATCCTTGTTTGGTACACCAAAATTGATTGTCAGTGATAGAGGACGCATGTTTGAATCATCAGCATTTAATACGTGGATGAAAGAAATGGGTTGGGATATTCATCATATTACACCGGAGAAGCACCACGCTAATGGTCAAGTAGAACGATATATTCCCTCGGTTCTAAACTTGCTCGGAATCGATACAAATCACTAAAAGAAAGCACAATGGGCAGAGGAGCTATGGAAGATGCAGTTAATTTTTAACATTACTTAATAAAAGACAACACAGAAGACTCCTTTAAATTTACTGGTTAGTATAACAAGTGATACCTGTAATAAACGCTATAGTGCGGGATATTGCGCCAGACGATTCCGCTGAGAATTGAGAATCACTAAGAGAATTAAATAGACAAAGGACGGCCGAACGGTTAAAGAAAAATCAGGTTTAACAGGACAAATTTGTTAACAAGAAATGCAGGCCACCTCGACTGTACGAGTGGATGATTTTGTATTTGTAATAATGCCCAATTTAAAGGTAAATTGGACTCTGGAATGCATGGCCCATACTGAATCACAAAAGCATTGGAGAATGGGTGTTACGAACTTAAATTACTTTCTGGAGCTTATGGAAAGATTTCATACTCGGCTGCTCAATACATGGTGCCTTGGAAAGGCGAATGGACGCCGGAGGCTTGTGCTGTTTTATTTGAATGTGAGTATTTGAAGTCTGTAAGCGTGTGATATTCGCTTATAATGCTATTGAGGTTCAAGCAGGTGACATTCGCTTGTAGCCTCGACGATCCACCGGCATGCGACATGCGCTGGTAGCATTTAAAAAAAAACCGCAAGCAGGCGATATTCGCTTGAGGTTTAAGGATTAACTGGCATGCGACATGCGCTGGTTATAGTCTAGCAACTACAAGCAGGCGATATTCGCTTGAGGTTTGTAAGGATTTACTGGCATGCGACATTCGCTGGTCGTGGTCTAGAAACTGCAAGCAGGCGATATTCGCTTGGAGTTTTGAGTATTTACTGGCATGCGACATGCGCTGGTTACTGTCTAGGAACTTCAAGCAGGTGTCATTCGCTTGAATTAGACTTACAAACATGTGATAATCGTTCTTAACGTTTTATAATAACTATAAGTATGAGATAGTTACTTGCTGTAAATAGAAATTGCAGTGATTTATTTCATTTGATTTATTCGGTATTGTTATTGTTATTTTCCAATTATTCATTTTATCAATTAGAATTGTAGCTTCTGAGTTTGTGCCAATCTTTGGATTTAAAGAAGAAAAGGAGTCAATCAATTTGAAGGTTTTCAGAGCATGCTACTTTAATTAAGTGTGTTTCAGGTGATGAAGTCGTTAATCCTGCTAGTAGCTGCCTTGATGGGTCTATAACTTCTGCTGAGGACAGCAGAGTGTCAGGAGAGGCCGTGTAAGAGGAATGATGACGCATTCCTTTTGAAATGTAAACATCCCTCGTCACGGGCACCGAGGACTGACTAGCTCGCCACTCTTGCTGGTACCTCTGAAGGCATAGGTTGCGTAATTGCATTGTTGTGCGTTATTTGTGAATGTGATTAGCATCGTATCGTTAGTGATTAGTGGCTATTGACTTTGATTTATATTTACTTAAGTTAAATAGATTAGGCGAAAACGTTAGATGTAAGTACTTTTATATTGATTGTTCATAATATAGATCGATGTGCCTATAATTTGTTTGTTTTTATTTTTTATAAATTAGAGATCTACTCTTAGATATTTTAAAATCTATTCTTAGATATTTTAATACTTTGATTTTTCTGGCATGGGCCAGAATCTTGGCCAGAATCGACAAAATTACATGCTATTATTAACCTAACCTGTGGTCAAAGTGACACTCTGACTCTTATTGTCAATGTCAGTGCGCAGGTGGCGGCTAGGGACACGATATCGAATAGAAAGTATCGATACTGTACTCATGAGTAGTATCGGTAAAAAAGTATCGTACTCGTAAAAGTATCGAAACAAAAGTATCGATACTTCAAAGTATCGAGTACATTTCATAGGGCCTTATCGCCCTCTGTAGCCTGATGAGCAACCCCCCCCCCCCCCCCGGTGTTAAAATTGAAAGAAAAACAATCGAATTTTATTATAATAAGTATAATCAAAAACAAAAAAAGGACATGAAAATTCACAAATTGCTATATTATATAATGAAAAGAAAATAGCTGTGATTTCTGACTCTAAAGAAGTGTTCATTAATATTACAAACATAATTAAAATGTTAATTAAAAAGATCGAAATTTTAAACAATTTAAAAGTATGAAACTTTTCAGATTTGTTTCAAATTAAATTTACTTTTCTTGAATTTTAATCATTAACGTTAACTTGAATCTGGCACGTAGTTAACGGCTGCCATTCTCATGCTTCACTCAAGATTATAATTATAGAAGAGGTTACGTCTGTCTTTTTTTGTGGTGGTTTCAAATAGGTATACACAGCACAGACAGAATAATAGTGTTACACTTGAATAAATCAAATACAGGTATCGATTCTGGCGTGATTCTCTAAACTTAAAACTAAATTTAACATCAGCCTCTCCTTTTCATTCTGTATAGAGAATGATAGGGATGCACTGTTGTCAAATTTAAGTTTAGCTTTAGAGAATCATGCCAGAATCGACATCACAGTCAAGCTAAAAACACAATAAACGGCGAATCAATCACAGTTCCTAACAATATGGTCGCTAAATAAATAACTATGAAACAATACAAAGCGCAAAATAAACACAGTCACAGATTGGAAAGAATTTGAATATGTCAGTTACTGACTTTATAACAACGCAATAGGGCATTTGACAGTATTAAAAATAAAGTGCCAAAATAACGAAAAAGATATAAGTTTTCTTATCTATTGTCACGTAACCCAAAACGCTTGGGATTGGCGGAGCCTAAAATGACGTCACACGCAAGTAAACTTTCGGTCAAAGTGACATTACATTGTATCGTTTGACGTTTTAATAACAGTCGTGTGACGTCACACACTAGTAAAACGCCATATTGTCCAGAGTAACATTTTCGCGGCAACTTGAAAATGGAGTTTTTGATTTGGTTATTTTTACTGAAATACACAACAGAATGATGAATATCCACTTTTTACGGACTCCATAAACATTAGTCAATAACGTGAGATCGTTGCCTAAAACTTGTCAAATACCCTATGGAACGTTTCAGAAGGTTTGCTATGATTTAACAAGATGGCATTGCGATCAATATGAGACGCTTATCCAAATTTTTAAAGGTATCGATACTTGCCAAAAAGTACTCATTTAGTAAAAGTATCGAATACAAAGTATCGAGTACAAAAGTATCGGTATCGAAAGGAAAAGTACTCGATACCACAAAGTATCGATACTTTTTTCGTGTCCCTAGTGGCGGCCGGTCGTGTAGTATACTTACTTTACTCTTTGGTGTAGGAATAAAATTCAGGTGCTCTGTGGAGTGATCATTTTGCTTCGTGGGCTTGGTTGGAGTTGGCGTATATTCGTTAACTTGTTATTCGCCGTCATTTTCGGATTGGGTCGAAGTCCAAAGTCCTTCCTCGCCAAGTTTATTAATTCTTAATAAACTAAATACCCTTATTTTTCAAAGAAGAACACAAAATGAATCCTGTTACTCAAGTAAGTAATGCTTACAACTAGAAATTACATTAGGCCTATGTCATCTCTTGTAATGAATTACCTACAACTACAGGCAACTATCAATTATGTGGGCATTTGTATACTGTTACATAGACCATTCATTTTGGTTTATTAAAATGAATTCTATTTATGAATCATTGTCAAATCTAGATAATCTTACCCTCAATTTCTTCACAAGTCCAAAGTTCAGTAGCAATACTATTTAACAGTATGTTAATTTTCACTACCTAACTTTTATTAAATTGCTATATAGATTCCACTTATGGTAACATTGATAAGGCAGAATCATTAGTGGAGAATAAAAGCATTCTGAATAAAGCTGGACAATATAAACTATTCTGACCTTTATCCAGCACTCATTACTAGTAGAGGGTTACATTGTGAAAGGAAGTGATTTAGATTATTTTCTCCTGATTTTCGAAATGGGGGAAAGTTAGAAGGGAGGGGCATTGGAGTTATGGAAATAAGATTCCTTGATATTATCTTCCTAATAGTGAAATCAGAAAATCTCCTTTTCTTAAAACATTGATTGAAATACTTTAATTACAGTTAAAGTTCCTTATTCGCGGGGTATACGTTCCAGAAATATGCCGCGAATACAGAAACCGTGAATATGGAGTGGTAATTTATATTAAATTATAGGGGTTACGTTCCAAAGCGCAAAAAAATTTTTTTTTATTAATCTATGAATTGAAGTTAATTTTTGTTAGGCTTAGGCAAACGTTTAAGGAACTGTTAATTTAAATGATAGCACTGATATTTATCACGTCGAAACTATTTTTTTCTTTATCGATATTATAATTTAGGAGCACAGCGGAAGAGAAGAGTTACTCAATCACAATTTTTGGAATGAATGAAAAGGGGGGTGAATAAATACGCAAAGCGGCTCTTACCAAAGGATATGGCGGAGAGTCTAACTTACATATGTGATGTTATCATAATATATGATATGATACTTATACATTTAAAAATATATTTGAAGCATAGAGTAATACGTTGTTTTACATAAACATTATTCTGTTTTGAACAAACAGCGTCTGTCGAAAAGAAAAGGCGAACCATCGTATGCACCGGCGATAGCATTTGACAACATACCGTAGACGAACTTCACATAAGGTCTATTTTATTTATTTTATAATTACTCCATCTGCCGACGCGTTAACGAAGGTTACCAAATCCTTTATATTTTGATTAGATCCGCGAATAACAAATTTTTTGCTGTGAATATGGGAATTTGGTCGCAATTTTTTAATCCGCTAATAGTGAGAACGCGAATATAGGAAGCGTGAATAAGGAGCTTTTACTGTATAACATTGATTGTTAATTTTATCATTTTAACCACACAGCTACCAATTGTCATCTTGCTAAATTATTCAAAGCTTGTTCTAAAACAATATGTTTTATCTATATAAAATTCTTGTGGCACAATGTTAGTTACCATACTTCTCCGAAACGGCTTGACCAATTTTTATGAAATTTTATATGCATATTCTGTAGGTCTGAGAATCAGCTACTATCTATTTTGCATATCTTTAAGTGATAATGGTTGTCCACCTGCAACATAGTGTTCTGAAACCTGCAATGCCCCTTCACCCCAAAATGCAAACTATTGGGTATTGTAACATAGTGTTCTCATATGGATTAGGAGGAATGCTATCCCAGGAAATTGATAGAACACTACGTTTGCTCACCCCTAAAATTATTTCTGGACAATATATATTTTTTTATAATGTGGTATTAAAAAATACATACAACCCTAAATTTTCTCTTCTACCACCTGCCCCTATTTGTAAAAGAGAGTTTAAGCTATAAATAATTATCTTTTATGAAAGAATTTATTTACTGTATGTTTGAAGATTTGTTTACAATGTGCTTGCTATATATGTACTAGTAACAAATATTCGCATCTGCATTCGCGAATATTCGCATATTTTTGAATATTCACATTCGCATAATCACGCGAATGTTTTGTGAATATGAATATTAGAAAAAAACAATTTTAAGAAGTTGTAGTTCTTCCTTTTCTTCAATATTCATTGCTACACAGCTTGCATAGATGCAAGCTGTGTAACACTTTGCAACACTTTAGCTCGTTCAGCATTGCAAAGTGTTAAATAAGTCCATATTTTACTAGAATTTGATTTAATCATGTTTATAAATCACTATTCAAACTCTAACCTCAAAATTCACTTGTTTTGTTTACAAAAAGACCGGCGCGAGCGGAATGACACTTCAGTTGGATTAGTTCATATCAACTCTGCAATTCGAACGAGATTACCACCATGCCATTTGGCGATCCATAGACATTTGGCGCCAATTTTTGAACAAAAACATATATATTCGCAGTCGCGAATGTCGGTACCAGATATTCGCATTCGCGAATATTCAAAAAATTACATTTGTTACATCACTAATATGTACTGTTGGTTTACCTTTCTATAGAATTAAAAATATCTCCATGAATGGATTTAATTTATAGTTAACTTCACAATAAGCTAACTGCTAACTTGATAACTACATATTTGAAAGGACATGATTCAAATTTGTGTGGACTGACCACCTGTCAGTCTCTCTGGCAGACTCCAAATTTTTAAGACATGTAATGCACTTAGTTATGAAATGTTGGTTTTCCCCAAATAAATAACTAAATGATTCCATTCATCTCTCATTATTTCGTTAGGTATTTTGTGGTTATTGTATTTCAAGAAAAATCAATCAAAAATTGGTATAATAATTTCACTACGATTTCACGAATATCCATGAGTGGACTGATTGACATTTTACAGTGATTAAATTGACGTTAATGAAATGCTACAGACTAAAAATATGACGTTACTTATCACAGGGTGGGCAGCACCCCTAAAAAATTTATAAATTTTCAAACACAATTTAAAATTAATAGGACATTAATAAAGAAATATAAATATCTTTTCATGTTATTTCATAAAACACTCTTTCAAATGATGTACGTTTCATCGCTGCTGGAAACCGACAACCACTTTTGAACCTACTCCTTCGTTATTTTATTGTAAAATTAATTTTATTAATTGATAACAATATTTTTTGCTATGCTCTGCATTTTGGGTTACACTGTTTTTACTACTTATCCTTTTTTTTCTTTTGAATATAAAAAGTATTTGCTTACAGGTAGCTCGAGCATCCCGACCAATCTTCAGGTCGATTGCAACTTCTTCACCTTTGGCATCTGCTGCAAAGCCTATCCCTACAACTGGATTCTGCTTTGGTTAGTTATTTGTTATAGTAATATAATCTTTATATATATAATTCTTCAGTGAGTGTGTATGTCACTGAACTTCTCTTAAACGACTGGACCGATTTTGATGAAATTTTTTGTGTGTATTCAAGGGGATCTGAGAATGGTTTAGATTCACAATTTTGTTCGCTGGACAACCCCTATTTTTTTTAGGGCGGTACGAAGTTCGCTGGGTCAGCTAGTCTTTATATATATAATTCTTCTGTGAGTGTGTATGTCACTGAACTTCTCTTAAACGACTGGACCGATTTTGATGAAATTTTTTGTGTGTGTTCAAGGGGATCTGAGAATGGTTTATATTCACAATTTTGTCCGCTGGACAATGTTTTTTTAATTAATTTTTAATTTATTAGTAGTTGTTGATTTTGGAATGTTTTACATTGGATCCGACAGATGGCTATGTGTATATTCCTGTCAAACATTTGACGTTCGTCGATTATCATTTCTTCCAAATTATTGTAAGCAATACGAAGTACGCTGGGTCAGCTAGTACTTAATATAATTTAAAAAAATCATATGAAAATAAAAAATCTATTTGTGAAACGCACATAAAAATACACTGCTTTATTTATTCCTAAGTATATTTTGTTCATGTGCTCCAAAGTGGTATGAGTACTGACGAATGTGAAATGTATAACTACAACTCATATCACATTAAAGGAAACAACTTTTACATTTTCAAGTTTACAACCACGGACTTGAAAAAAAAACGTATGTAACCTTGTCTAATTGTGGTTTTTCAATAATTTACATCAGTATGCATATTCAAAATCATTCAACAATTCTTACAATATTAACTTCTTCTAACCAACAACAGATGTTGATAATGTTTTCAGCTTAATTAAATAATTATTTGTTCTTTAATTTTATATTATACAAGCTGACCCAGCGAACTTCGTACCGCCCTAAAAAAAATAGGGGTTGTCCAGCGAACAAAATTGTGAATCTAAACCATTCTCAGATCCCCTTGAATACACACAAAAAATTTCATCAAAATCGGTCCAGTCGTTTAAGAGAAGTTCAGTGACATACACACTCACAGAAGAATTATATATATAAAGATAAGCCCAAAAATAGAAACTATAGTCTATTCATTGTGAAGCAAAAATGGTTCACTTGTTAAAAGTAAATTGATAAAGTGAAATTTTTTAAACAGAAACCAAAGAAGTTTTTACTAAATTTTCTATCTTTATCATATCTCATTTATTTCAGAATTAAGTGATGAGCAAAAAGCACTCCAAGATTTGGCTAGAAAGTTCACAAGGGAGGAGATTATACCAATGGCCACTCATTACGATAAAACTGGAGAATATCCCTGGCCTATTGTTAAGAAGGCCTGGGAAATAGGACTGATGAATGGACATATACCTGAGCACTGCGGTAAAGTTATCACTTAATAATTTTATAATTGATTTATAATTTATATTAACCATTTGTTACTAATAACAACCATTTGCATATCATTCCTTTAATTTATTTTTAATTGCGAATGTCAATAATAAAACTAGTTTTTACGGGTTAATGCACGAAAACTATTTATTTATTGACGTTTCGTAGCCTTTACAGGCTTCGTCGTCAGAATACGCCTGTAAAGGCTACGAAACGTCAATAAAAAAATAATGTTTTCGTGCATTAACCCGTAAAAACTAGTTTTATTTAATGAGTGATGTGCGTGAAAAAGAAACCAATATGTCAATAATGTTTTGTTTGGCCATTTATACATTGAAATTTTGTCAATGGTCGGGACTCGGTATTTAATAATATGTTACATGTAATGCTTAAATTGTTGGTAAGTTTAGGTAAAACATGAAATTTTACTTTATTGGTAACCTAGTATATTTAGCTTTACCTAAGCCCGACATAGAACTGGGTAATGATAAAACATTTAGACAGATTCATTCAACATTTAATTATATTGTCATTTCTTACGACATTGTTATCTACTATATAAAAATAAGTCGGGTTTTCCTTCCTAACGCTATAACTCCAGAACGCACGAACCGATTTCCACGGTTTTGCATTCGTTGGAAAGGTCTCGGGCTCCGTGAGGTTTATAGCAAAGAAATTTCAGAAAAAATTAAAAAAAAAACTTCATTTAATCACCAAACGAAATGTTACATAAAACGAAGCCATCTGGTGGCGAAACGGAGTTCGCCGGGTTTGCTAGTCTACTATATAAAAATAAGTCGGGTTTTCCTTCCTGACGCTATAACTTCAGAACGCATGAACCGATTTCCACGGTTTTGCATTCGTTGGAAAGGTCTCGGGCTCCGTGGGGTTTATAGCAAAGAAAATTCAGGAAAAATTATAAAAAAAATCTTCTTTTAATCACCAAACGAAATGTTACATAAAAAGAAGCCATCTGGTGGCGAAACGGAGTTCGCCGGGTTTGCTAGTTTATTAATAAACTTGTTCATGGTGCCTCACTAGCTATTTGTTTCTAAGTAGAATCGGAATACTCCAAATTTGTGTCTTCATATGGAATTTAGCCAGTCTGTTTTGATTCTTCTGTTGTAACCTTTATAGATAAACTTAAAATTTCCCCTAGTATTACTTTTAACATAGATGTTATTTACTGTCAAAGGCTCAGTGATAAATCAAAAAATACCTACCTTTTACAACTACATTACTCTCGTTTTGTTTAGACTTCAAAATCCACCAGTTAAATGCTTAAATTTTTAATAAAATAATAAATTAGTCTCTTTTGGGTTCACTATGAATGTGATACATTTAAATTATCTTGTATGCTATTCTACTACTACTTACACAGGTTAGATATAATAAAGTTACTGGGGGCGTGTATACACAAAAAAAAACTAGAATAAATGGAAGGAAACAGAAATGTAAATTTAATTTAGCTGGCCTGGGACTATTTATTCAATAAAAATTGGATGTCAATCTTGTTTACTTAAGTTAAAAAAGAATTAGGATAACAGAAAGCTTTTTTTTGTGTATAAAGTAAGTTTTCGTTATTTGAGCTCAATTACAATGATGAGAGGAGACCCTCTTCTCGTAGCAGGAGATTCATTTGATTGAATGATTATCCCTCCAACTTCTTTGTTAGAATTGACTGCTGGCGGACATAGGTTAGTATGTAGATAAAAGGATATAAAATTAGGGTCTTGATCACATTCTTTTATATCCGCAGGGGGTATGAATTTAGGCATATTTGAGAGTTGCATTATCTGCGAAGAGGTGGCGTACGGTTGTTCCGGAATTATGGCTGCTATATACATAACCGACGTCGCAGTAAGGAACTTGAAACATTTAATTCTGAGAGCGTAAATGTTACAGTAGAAAACGCCTCTTTTAATGTAGTCAATAATAAAAAGCTCGTATTTCTAACTTTCTTCTTAGTATATTTTATTTAGCGTAGCGCCATAATATTTGTAACAACAGGTTTTAACACTACACACAGTACACTCCAGAGCAATGTATCCGGGTCACATAAAGAATCCTAAAAATCTCGCAAACTGATAATGCTAGTTTAATGAAATAAATTGTGTTGTTTAATATACAATTAAAGACTCCTTAAATGAAAGTAATAAACATTTTATTTACAAAAAAATAAAAAAATAAAATTGACAAGACATAACCTTTTTGAACAACATTACGATTTTCTTAATTTTTAATACTTCGTGTTGCTTCCTCATCCTTCCATTACTGCGTTGATCTTGATGAGTTCTTTGCGACTTTCAGAAGAAATTCCGGCCCACACAAGTACAGACCCACCACCGTAGGCTACTTTTTCTTGGATGCATGCTTGCTTGAATCTTTACCCAGGTCTTCTATAGACTCCCTGTCTTCCATCGTGCTTGTAGAGCATAAATTTTGATTCGTCAAAGAACATAACTTTTGAACAATCATCAATAGTCCAATTTAAGTGATTCTGGGCATATCTTAGTCTTGAAATACGATGCCCACGCTCCAGTTTAGGGCTGTTTGCTAAGTGGTTTCAAGCTAACTTTAGCAAAGTCGTCGTCTTACTGTCCATGCGCTTGGGTTACTTCCTCCGAGGCGTCGAAACTGATTTGCAGTAATTTCAGTTCCTGTGAGAAAGCGATTTCGAAGCATGGTGTTCACACAGTATCGATCTACTCGTGCTGTGGTACACCTAGTTCTGCCTATTCCAGGTCTGCGTAGGTTAGAGCCAGTTTTCTCGTAACGTCGGAGAACTCTTTGTACTGTTGACAGCGACACACCCGCAGTCCTGGCTGTATCGCGCTGACTCCGGTCCGTTTCCAGCATTGTGAGAATTCTGGTACATTCTTCAGGTGTAAGCGGCATGATTACAGCTTGAATAATTAATATTGAACACTATCGACATGGTTTATATGAATGATAAATTACAGATTAGAAACAAAAGCAAAAACAAATGCAGTAATGTCGTCGTTCCATCTTCGAAAGTCTCCCTTTTTCAAATTTGTTTTTTTATTATATAATTTTACAATAACTAACAAGTTTTTAATATCTTCATTTAAGGAGTATTCAATTGTCTATTTATAAGATTTATTTCATTCAGCTAGCATTCTTAGTTTGCGAGATTTTTAAGATTCTTTAAGTGACCCGTATTCATTGCTCTCGAGTGTATTTACAAAAACGAGGATTTTGAAAAATTAACTGATTGAAAGGTGACAATAATACACCATGCGCGAGTATAGTAATGGATAAAGTTGACTTTAGTTTTAGTTTATCCCACTGATACTATTCATTATAAGACCGACTTTTTTGAGTTTTAGTTTTTAGAAGTGCTTTAAAATATTGTAATGTTTTACTGTAACATTAACATACTTCGAAACAGTTATCAACAATGAACTGCCTTGTTCTTGTAAAGGATTAGATTCATCTAATCTTTGAGTAGCATTCGACTTATCATATAAGTAAACAGCACAACAAAAGCCGCAGGCTTACTATTTTTAAGCATGATTAGATTTGTCCAACAACAAAACAATAAAGATACAAGGTACCTTTTTACAATTAAAAAAACGTTGCAAACATTATCATAATTGATTCTTAGTTATGGTGTTATGACTTTTCTTTTTTCTTTATTAAGCTTTCAACAATGTTCACTGCAATTGAAGTTTTTTGGAGCGCTGATGATTTATTTAAGTCTAATGAAATAAAACCATAATTTAGAGAGCGCATTAATGTAAATTCTCAAAGATGCGTTTAATAACTTGTAATGACGATCTCAGAATGAACTAATGGATGTCATAGTTGTTTTAATTCTATTTCTTTTTATATGTTTTGGCTGGTTATAAGTTTTACTTATCATTTACGCTTTATAGGTTTATTATATTCTTCAGATATTTATTTGTCATCAGTAGGTTTCATTTACAAAAGATTAAACTAGCGGCCGCCCGAGACATCGTATGAGTTGAAGTTAGTTTTTTAAAAATCCCTCAGGAGGTCCAAAAACACTTCTCCGGGATAAAAAGTATCTTGTGTCTTAATCCAGGTCATAAACTATATGCGTACCAAATTTCATCCAAATCCGTTCAGTGATTTAGGCGTGAAAGCGTAACAAACAAACAAACTTGCTTTCACATTTATACTACGAGTATTTATAGTAATGACATTTATAATATTAGTTAGGATGTTCGGGTAATAAAATTAGTACCTACATAGATTTCTATTCAAAAAATACGTAGTGGGTTAATGACTGCTTATTTTGATAGATCAATAACTTGGAACGGCTTGATTGCATTGGCTACATTCTTGTTGCGGATAAAACATTGTATGTCACAGCTGTCGATCATTTTTTATTAGAAGGTTCACGGGCAAATTCTTAAAGAAGAGTGCAGTTTTTGAAGAGCTTGATGACCGAAGAATTTGGCTTCGAATGCACTGGTATCACCATTGTCGTTATCACTACTAACTTAGGAGTGAGTTGGTTAAACGTTAACGATCAAAGAAGAGATCACACACTATCATAATACTTGATTATTTGCTCTGTAGAGACTGTCATGTACTCCATGTCAGTGTCTTGCCATATTGTCGCTTATTTATCCTTCATACATAGAAGACATCAAAATGTTGAAGCATAAAATGCTTGTGTCGTAAAAGTTTCCACGTTGAAGAAACCGGAACTATTCTATTGTGTATAAAATACTTGCTTTTGTTTAAAAAGTATTCATTGATATGTTCCTCTCGATTTCTTAATTGTTAGTTTATTATAAGGCTACCATATAATAACTGTTGAAGTAGGTATTTTTCATCGCAGAACTATCGAGTCAATGTACATTTATTATTTATTTTATGTATTTTATTTTCGCATTTATTTGCTAGTTTTATATTTATTTTTCAATATAATTTCGAGTAAACATTCGTCTATACATCTGGCAGGCATAAACCTATTCATAATTAGAATCCTCAAAAGTCCCTGTATATGTATTATTTGGCTAGTTTATGAATGTGAAGTCTTTTAGACCCTTATCCGGCTTTTATATTATGTAATATTTTTATGTATCTATACCGGTTTTGATGTTGCATTTTATGAATTTTCCCGTTAATGAAATGATTTTTCTGTAGAGTTGTGTTAACGAAATTTTTACTTTGATTATTGTCTACAGTTTTTCCCGATTATTTCGTAGCGTTGGCGTTGTTTTAGGTATTTATTGATGTGTTACATCTTTCCTCTCGCTTTTCTGCAATTTGTGGGAGTGATTTTGTGAAATGGGACGGAAGTGTGTAACAGGAAGTAGCGATAGCGCGCGCTATTTGATTTTAGAACATAATGTTCAAATGGCTTAGTCCTTTTGTAGTAGGTTTTATTTCTTTTTTTACTAATATAGGGTGAGGTTTCAAATGTTACACATCATACGCGACTACTGTACTGTACTGTAAGGCTCGCTTGTTTTTTAATTATTTAAGACAAACAACTTATCAAAGTGTTTTCCTTACTTGGAAATAATATTAGGTATGATCGTAAGAATTTCGTAGTTGTGTTGATTGTTCTAGAATTTCTTATCGGTTTTTGTACTGTCTGAAGATTGACATTTGAGTAATAAATGAAATTTCACGACTTTAAAATTGTATATTTCATGTTGTATACAGAAAATTATAGTTAAGAAAAGCTTCCAAGTTATTAATAGATCACAGGGCGCTAAAATAATTTTTTTTAGATAACATATTTGGGTTAATGTAATACGAGAATTTATTGTACTTTAAATAAAGGTATATTGAGAATATAATAGTTTGTGAACCTCGACGGTCCACTACGACAACGACGACTACAAAATTTTGTTTAAGAGAGGTGAGGTGAGGAGGTCGAGAGGCAAAGCGGATTTACCGCTCGAATTGGAGCGCCTGTCTTGGAAAGGAACCTCCACACTCACAGCAGATCTACCATTAGATAGTGTTTTGTCTCTGTCCAATAAGTAAGTTTCAGAGGTACATATAAGGGGTAGGGGATAAAATCAGGGTAGGCAACGGCACCAATATTACTCGGTATCGCGAGCGCCTACAACTCTACACGCAGGGCCGTCTTTAACCTATTGGAGGCCCTGGGTATATTAGGATAATAGGGCCCCTATGACTTTGCTGTGGATTATGACTTGAAATGGAGCTAGTCATACTGATGAGTATACTACTGATGATTTTTCTTTAAAATGTGTATGTGCTTAGTATACCGAGAGAGTAGAATAGCTTCGCTTATGTAAAAGCTAGTAAGTTGATATTGTAGTCAGTAAATTTAGGTTCGATTTCATCGGATTATACAAGTTTTTTGGTTATAAATATTGGCTATCGTTTGGTGATCTGGCAGGAACTAGGGACTTTGTATTTGATCTGAGGGAGGCCCCTATCGATCGCGGGGCCCTGGGCACTTGCCCAAAGTGCCCACTGGGAAAGAGGGCTCTGTCTACACGTTATGGTAGCCGCTGACCATCACGAGAGCCATAAGCTCATATAGGTATATATTATTATATTTTACCGTAGACGAAAAGTAGGCATGTTTCGTACATTATCCTAAAAATATGGTGATTACCCTACGATGTAGGGCCTACATGAACTAACATTAAATCTGTTTGACAGCTAAAAACGCACTTAACACCATATTAATAAACGAGGAATACGCTTGGATTTAGCGATGGGCGTTGAATTAACGAACGGTTTAAATAGACGGTCTACGTTCAATCGACGCTTCGACGGTCTACAGTTTATTCGTTAACTAGTTGAATTCATAGACGACTAAACTGAGAGTCCACAGCGTTCATATCTACTGACAACGCGACGTCGACGCGTAAACGTATCCGGTTTACCGGTTACAAGTCCATACGTTCGTTCATTCGTTGAAATAAAGCAATTTGAAGCATATGGCATGGGAGTTGATATTTGTTCGTTTTTTAAACTAGAGTTGTTAAAGTGAAAAGGCAAGAGTATTCTGATATTGCGTGAAAGAGTACGTCGATGGATCTGGCTAAACGATGCAGTGCAGGATGAACGGGTTTATAATAATTGTTTAACTCAAGTAGTTGCAGTTTTGTTTATTGAAATTTGAAATTAGTGTGTCGCGAGGTCAAGGTCAAGGGACACGTGAATGCGAATTTAGTGCAAAGTTCGTTTGAATTGAATGATTATTTTATGAATGCATCTAAATCCCGAGTCTAATCTATGTTTTCTTAAAAATATATTTAAATCTTGGTTCTGTAAAAATTAAAAAAGTCTGCAAGACCCATAAATAAATTTATTTTAATTGTAAAAACAATGATTGCGCATAGAACATTTCTGTCGCAGCTGTCGATTATACATAGGTTTACGGTTAAATTCGACCTTTTCAGGCGGTGTAGGATCTTATGGAGTTTTCGAAGAATGCTTGATGGCTGAAGAATTTGCCTTTGGATGCACTGGTATCACCACTGCTGTTGGCGGTACTAACTTAGGCGTGAGTTGGTTAAACGTTAACGTAGATTACACACTTATAATGCTTGATTTATTTGCTCTGTAGGTGTCTTGCCGTGTTGTCGATTATTTTATCCTTTATCTTACTTATAAACATACAAGGCATCATAATGTTGGAGAATAATATACTTGTGTGGTGTCTGATTTAATATAACAATCTTATGTCACGACTGCCTTCTAATGTTACCATGATAAAGAAAACGGATCTACATTATTGTGTATAAAGTACTTGCCTTTGTGTAAAAGGGTTTTGTTAATGTGTATGTTTTTTTTTTCTCATATTATTTTTATTCGGTTATTTTTCAATTTGTCCCAGTCCATTTTTGTATTGTTTAATATTTTTTTAAGAATCTCTGCTAGTATTATATTTATTTATTAAGCAGCATTTTGAGTCAAAAGCAATATTTACAGTGCTCGGCGCTTTGTTAATATTCATTAAAATCATGTTGTTTCTTCAGGCATAGGTACTCGTTATGGCCTACACATAATTTAATAATGTGATTGATCCATGTTTGATTATAGTTTGTAGGGATGAATGCGAAGTCTTTTATGCGCTGTTACTTAGGACTATCGTCCTTCTCATATTTATGAAATATTTAATCTTTATTTTTCTCTTTATACTTAGGTAGCTGTTTTGGTATTGCAGTGCCTGTTGTTATTTTTTTATGTTTTTTCTCCAGTGACAGGATTTTCTGCACAGTTGAGTATTTGCCAATTTGTTGTACATTTTTGGTTTCTTTTATTGTGTATTTTGGTAAGCTTTAACGATGTTCTCAAGATTTCTGCGGTTACCTTATCAGCTCATCTATGTTTGGTTACGTTTACGTTGTTTAATTTAATCATTGAAAGCTAACAAGGGTTTTTTAGAAAATGAACTTTCATTAGTCTTTTTCCACTTGGAAATAATGTTAGGTATGATCGTAAGAATTTTGTATTATTGCGGCTAGTAAATAAATTTGAAGGGGGTAGTTTGAGTAATTAATAAATTACACATCTGTATATCTAGACAATATCATAGTTATAAAGCGAACGCTTAGCGCTTTGGTGCTGGGTTATCACATGATTTGATAATCATATTCGTAACCTTTACCTCAATTTTTCTTGCGTAACAAGATATTAAACATTAGGGTTTCAATAAAGTATATAAAAAACGGGGAAGTTTAATTATGCATCGGTTAGGTAAAATTTAATTTAAGATGAATTTCAAATTAACCATACAAAATCTAAATAAGTTTTTGCTTGAGGCGGCCTAGTGGCTAGAGAAAATATCATATAGAAGTGGCCTAAGTTTTTTGTTCAAAAGCGTAATATCATTCTGCAGTTGAGTTGCCTTATTTATTCTTAACTGTGCATATAATCGATTTTCATAGGTGGAATGGATATGGGAGTTTTTGAGGGATGTATGGTCGCTGAAGAGATCGCTTTTGGATGTACGGGTATCATGACAGCTCTGGAGGCTAGCGGACTTGGTGTGAGTCAAAAAGTGTTGGAGAATCGTAGAGACCCGTGGATTTTTGTGTTGATAAAAAATGGCAATAACATTTACATGTTACAAATCTAATTTACTTAACTGTTTATTGTCTTACGATTATTCAAAGCAAACCATAAATGAAAGAATTATTAATAGTTATCATTATTGATAGATTGTACGATCTTTTTTGTTATAAAAGTCATAATATTGCCATATTTCATTGATACAATCATGTCACTAACAGCATGGTATGGCTTGATGCTTACGTAGAGATAATGCCATATTGACGAGTAGCTTATTTTACTTCGTTGAATTATTATTCGAATTGTACTATTCTGATTACTTAAAAATATTATATCATTATAATAATAATAATAATGTTGATTGATGTCAAAGTCCCATGTCATTATTTGTTGCTCATGTATAACTTATTATATTAATTAAAGTACCTAATTGATTGTTATATATAATTATACCTTTTACTATATTTTATAGCCAACTTTTGATAAATTTATGTATACATATAGTATATACTTAGATATATACATTATATTTAATATATTTATCTACTTGCATGTTTTTGTTTTTTGTTTTCTTTGTTTGTTAAGTGTGTGGTGATAGTTGGCAATGTTTAAATAAAGAAGCATACATTAAAAAAATAATAATGTTTTTCAGCAAACTCCCGTCATTATTGCTGGTAACAAGGAGCAACAGAAAAAGTATTTAGGCAGACTGATTGACGAGCCGTTAGTTGCTGTAAGTAAAATAAGTTTATTATTTAATGTTTTACTCAATTCCGTCCTTTTTATATTTATGATTGTGTGTTTTTAAATATTATTTCTGGTCATTATTAGTAGTCAAACCGTGACAGGAATGTACGAAAAAGCTTACCATGTTTTAGCGTCATGCAGGCACTTCACTTTCCTATTCGTGTTTGCTATTTGTAAACTTGATATCACAAAGAGCAGTCCTCTTCATTCCTTATAGAGCATGATATGGACGGACTGTTTCCAGATGGCATAAACGAATAGCCAAGTAAAGTACCGAAATCGCATATTTTGGAGCCGCTAAATCATTAAAGAACTAGCTTAGTTTTTAATCACATTATTTGTATAAATGGCTGTTGATAAATTAGCGATTCATCACCGTAAATGAACGGTATCTTTTCTAAAAGGTTTGGACTTTGCGCTCGACAAGGTACACATTTACGTAGGTGAACTTTTTAGATAACTAGTTATGTAATCATAATATCAATTCTAAAGAGAACTTAGTGTTGATTAAATTAGCGGCTCGTCATCGTGAACATTGTCTTCTTGATAAGATACGAACTTTGTGCTCGAGATTGGGTTTAAAGTCCATGTTGATTGATGTCAAAGTCCCTTGTCATTAGTTGTTGCTCATGATGACTGCGAATTTTGTGGTGTGAGAGGTATGGTATTTCCTTATTCTTCGTAAATATTTTTGTTCATTATTTTTTAATAAGAATTATTAATGAAGAATTAATTAATTGTTACTCCTATTAGTTATTATTACTAATTATAATTATTAATACGTACATTTTCAAAATAACGAATGTAGCGCGTTTAGAAAGCGAGAAGTTTATTAGTTAGTAAATCGTCCCCTTAGTGCCAAAACCGATTTTATCTGCACTTTTCCGCTACTGAACTTTTATAATACCAATCGACCCGTCTCATTAAGCCGCATCTACAGGTAAAACCCATTATGTTCTACGACGCATACTTCCTGAAATAGCTAATGAATAAACAGAATAACTGCAAATTATTTCCAAAATTCTTGATTTAAAACCTAATAAACCCATTCAAAACACAAGTTTGTAAATTTATTACCGCTGAAACCAAGTTTCGGATTTAAACTCATTTTTCATGTAGACACAGAGTAAATATCCTGTGAGTATCCTGTAATTGGCTTTGACTGTTGTTGACTTGACTGTTTGAATTTTACCAGATATTTTAATTTTACTAGATGAAGTAAAAACTAACAAAAATGTCGCTTTTTGCAAAAAAAAAATATAATATGTTTGCGTTATATTTGACGCAACTAAAAGAGGATAGACCGAATCGATTGACAGGTGACCTTCTAGCGTACATGACATATATCTGGGACGAGGCTATCGATAAGCGAGGTGAGTCTAGAGAGGTATCAGCTTTAACATCGCCAAGGCTTTGATAGGGTTTGGCACATAAGTCTTCTCTCCAAGCTTCCTGGATACGGTCTGCCTACTCAGTTCTGTGCCTGAGTGGCTGACTTCCTGTATGAGCGTCAACAGACGGCGACGGATGTAGTTCACAGTTCATGTCAGTGAATGCCGATGTTTCTCAGGACTCCGTCCTATCCCCTACACTCTTTTTGCTGCATTCAATGATTTAATTCCTCTAGAGAATATTCATTGCTATGCAGACGATAATACAGTGCATGCGGGATATTTTGGATACGCAGCCGCTGGACAGGTAGAAACCAAAGAGAAACGGGAGAATCTTGTCATTGAACTCAATCAAGATTTGGACCGCATTTCAGAATGCGGTACCAAGAACTTGGTTAAGTTCATTGCCAAGAAAGCCCAGGTCTGCGCTTTCACGGTAAAACTAACGTTTATTCACGCCTGAGCAACTGTGCTTGTTGTACATAAAGTAAGTACGGTCTTGCGTGGAATATTGTTCGCACCCCAGAGGATGGCTCCGCCAAGTACTTTTTTGATGCTTTGGATAGGTTACAGCGGCGCGCGATCCGCATTATTGGCGATAAGGAAGTGCAGTGACTTTTGCTTTTGCGTTTAACCTAAAATTTCACAATCTACGCGTGTACAGTCCGGCACGTAAGTTGAACCCTAAAATTTTAGTTTTCAGCGCATGTTTTTTCAGAGAAAAACGAAACAAAACTATATTTTTCTAACAAAGCGGTTGCTGTGTTTCATTAGATATTGTATTGTTAAAAATTCTTTAGTGCTATGATATTTTTCTGTGAAAAAACATGCGCTGAACACTAAAATTCGGATTCCACTTACGTGCCGGGCACTGTAGGAGTCTGCAGCCGCAGTGGGCGCGTCAAAAAAATCACACCATGACTTGCTTGGTTAGATGCGCCGTGAAAACGTCTAATGTTTGCGATAGTGCAAAAGTGTGGCCGTAGCATTATTCAGTTTACTTCGGAGCTAGGCTAATAGGGAAGATGCATATATAATATTTATGAAAATTTTATGATTAAAATGTTAAAAAAATATAAAAGAATTGCCACTGCAACGTTTTTATTTTACATAATGTTGTTTTTTAATAATTATTACGAATTAAAAATACTTGAAACAGAACGTATTTTAAAACACCAATCAGCGTTTAGTGACGTCACTCCTGTTATGACAACTTCTTTGAGGTTATGGTTGTTAAAGTAAATATTATTTTATGGGAATATTAATTGCGTTTTTTTTACATTTAATAAAAATGGAAGTTGCGTTTATCAAAGCAGACTCCAGGAATTTACCAAGAGTTAGTGTTGACATGGTTATAACTTTTTTTGTCCAAAGTGTAGTAATGAAAGGGACTAAATTACTACGGTATGTAAAAATCGTAGTTGTTAAACTTCGTATTTTATTCAGCGGCTTCTACAAATCTTACGGCGATAATGCAATCGGCTATGTCCAAATAAAAAGAGATGGAGAATTATGTACAGTAAAAGGTCGAGTTCTCCGGAGCATAAAGTACGTAAAGAAGGTTATCGTGTTACAGTTATTTTAAATGAAACGCAAAGCTTGGTTCAGTCCTGCCAATGTGAAGATTGTGCCACACATTTTAAACTTTATCTAATTTTCGACGTCATTCTCCAACTGTAAAATTAAATTTTAGAATCTCGAAAAAATATGCAAAAGTATGAAAATTTAAAGCCAGCGACGAACAAGTACGACCAGTGACAGACAGGAGTGACGTCATCGCAACCATAGGTTCGTTTTCGCGCGAAAATTTAAATTGTCAATTTAAAACCGCATTTTTTCCGATAAATCACAATGATTTAATTTTTTATTATATCTGTGGTTTATTCTACATGGAATTCTTTAAAATGAAAACAAAAATAAAAATATTGCATCTTCCCTATTGGCGTAAGTATTTGAAATATTTAATTATTTATATTTATCATTTGTTGATGGTGACTTGTCTTGCAGGCATACGGTGTAACGGAACCCGGGGCCGGGTCGGACGTCGCTGGAATAAAGACCAGGGCAGAGAAGAAGGGAGACGAATGGATTCTCAACGGCCAGAAGATGTGGATCACCAATGGTGGTGTCGCTAACTGGTAATTTATTTTCATAATTTAACACGGAGATGGAGAGGCAGAAATATTTCTTGGTTCAATTTCTTTCTTAAGTTTTAGCAAAGAGATTTTCTAACAACTACTTAGATTAACATGTCAGATATTTATTATATCGATATATTAAAAACATAACGAATTGAGAACAAAGTTGTCATTCTGATTTATTCCGTCATTTAATTTTTGAGCAGATATATACATTTGAATGTCATATTTTATTTACTTTTATGAATAAGTATTAAACTGCTTGATTTTTATATCGAAAGGTATGCATAATGTCAAAATTAAATCAATACCAATCAGGTCTTATAATTTTATTAACACATTTTAAAGAGATATCGTACATAATATGATCCATAACAAGGAATTAAATAAAATCAAAGTAATATTAAATTAAGGATAATCTGTCTGTCTGTAGTAAAATTATGTCGTAAAGTGTTCTTTTTCAATAGTATAACGTTGAACTCGTGGCAGGAATTTTGTTGTCATCGCAATCACAAAGGTCTTAATACGCCCCTGTGATGAGATAGTACCAGTGTTTCCACTTTAAAGGATTTTGCCCGATTTTAGGGCGAAACCCGTATTTATTCTACAATAAATATACATATTTTACAACAGTTTTTTCTTTTTACGTAATAAGGATAATTTGGCGTATAGAATTTTCTTTTGTTTGCATAAATTCTTAAGTTTACTAGTATATTTATATAACTTTTATGTATGTTTCTCTTTCTTTATTGCTTATTCATTTACGAAGGAATGATAATTTTGTTTTCTTGCTGACTTCATAATTAGAATTATTTTTTAACGAAGACTGCTTTTTTAATTTTAATTACACGTGTTTACTCCACGAAAAATGGAGTCGAAATGATATCAGCGCAAAAGGAGCATGTGGCTAGAACTATTCTCAGGCAACACTGGTAGAAGCTCTGCAATATTGCACACAGCAGCTCCTCTTTGTATTCTCCATGGCTCAGACTAATAGTATAAAAACACACTCAATTGTATGTTTAGATTCTGAATTAGTTATTTTTTAATATAAAACGTTTTTTTTTATTTATTTTTTGTGTGGATATTGAGCAGGGTGCACATTTACTGATTAGCATGTTGAGCATGCTTATCAGTGCACCCTGCTCAATTTGTTATTTCTGCTATTACAGGTACTTCGTCCTAGCACGTACCAATCCTGACCCCAAGTGCCCCGCCAGCAAAGCGTTTACCGGCTTCATTGTGGAGAGGGAATGGGCCGGAGTCACTCCAGGTCGCAAGGTAATCAAAAAAACCGCCTAATCATCAATCCGTTTCGTAAAACTTGCCCACCAAATTGCGTTACGTAATACTTGAACGCCCTTCCCATATAGAATCGCGATCGCTATTCGTATCCGCGCGTGAAAATTTTACATAATAGCCCCACTGAACTAAATTTTGTCTAACAAAAATTTTCATAAACTTTATAAATAGTTTTTTTTTTTAAATAAAAAATAATGTTACGGAACCTGCTCCCTCCCAAATTGCGTTACGTAATACTTGAACGCCCTCTTAGTGACGGGCCGGGTCGCAGCGCATTGATGCATTTTGGATTAAGTGTATTGCCAGACGTCCGTGCAACCGTACGCAATTCTATCCGCTCGCTTATAGCACACTATGTCAGGGCGAATCGCATCGTACGCAAACAAAATTCGCGGCGGCTCGCGTGCTATGTGTATCGACAAAATAACGAACACATACCTACCTAGTCAGGTCATAAATTCTGTCACATGTTTAATATAAAATAATTGAAACAAGTTTATTCATTATGTAACCATTTATATACCAAAATGAACTTAACAAAACATAGATTCTTATGACCATAAAGTTTATTCAAAATGACCTCCGTGATTTTGAATAATGGTCTTCAATCTGCGCGGCCAGTCGTCTATCGCAGCACAAACGTGGTCCATGTCAATATCAGCGGCGGCCTTAATCAAGGATGTCTTGAGTGACTCCAAATTGGCATGAGGCTTTGAGCACGCCTTTTCCTCCAAGTGTTGCCATATCTTGTAATCTAACGGACTCAAATCTGGACTGGAGGAGGGTCAGACTTCGTGCCTTTTTCAGTCTTGTGTGCTCTTCGCTCTATGAGCTGGCGCCGAATCTTGTTGGAATACCCAGTGCCTGTTATCGAACATGGTATGAGAAACAGGTTCCACAAGGTTCGTCAGGACTGTATTTTGATACACAACTGCATTTGTTTTTACACCTTCCTCACAAAAATGTACCTCTGTTAAGCCCTAATAAGAAACTCCCCACCATACCATGAGCGAGGATGGAAAATGACCTCGTTGGACACGCGGAATACGGTTGCTCGCTTCTTCACTACTGTGTGCGTACACCTTATCATTTTGTTTGTTGTAGCTCTCTTCTACGGTAAAATTTTTTTCATCCGGAAAAACAATTTCCCGATATTTATTTCCCTCGTACCGCTTCAACAAAGCGCGGCATCTCTTCAGTCTCGGGTCCATTAGACGAGCATTCAAACGATGTCCTGTTTTTCTTCGATATGCCCGAAGTCCTAAGTCTTCATTTAACACCCTTTTCACCGTGGTTCTGCTTAACCCCATCTGAAGGGCCAACAGTTTCTGCTTACGTTTGGGATTTCTTTGAATTCGTGCCTTCACAGCTTTTATCACTGCTGGAGTCCTAACAGACCGAGGGCGACCACTTCTTGGCCTGTCATCTACACTAGAGTCTTCATGGTATCGTTTGATGGTACGATAAACGAATCTTTTGGCTATATTAAAATTTTTCAGTATGTCAAAAATTTTAATTGGTGCGCAATCGCAACGATGCAACGCAATAACTGCAACACGGTCTTGCGTCCACACCATATTTAAAAATGAGTAAAATTCTAAAAAGTATACATTTTTATTTTCATGAACAATTCGAATTCATTAAACTTTTTTGTGTCCAACATTCTAAAAGATTTTTTTTTACTGTGTGACAATACTTATGACCTTACTGTGTATATTTTTTTTTTAATTTTTATCGTTTTGATTAATCGTTACCGTTTCCAGATGATCCCACTGATAATAACTTTGTAAAATAATTAAATTAAAATCCAAAGCCAACTTAAAATCAGTTGGAAATTCTTATTAAATAGGCACATACTTGTTCGAAATCTCCATTGAACCGAAAATAAACATGGCTTAAAGAAAAAAAAATTATAGAAAGATCGGGCTGATGGAGTGGAACCTTTCAGGTGTCATATCGGCACTTCACATGTCTATTTGTATTTGCTATTTGCAAACTTGACAACAGTCATTTTTTATTCCATATAGAGTATGACTAGAGGTGCCCCCCCGGGGTTTCTGCTTTATAATGTTAGTATAGATAAGGACAACCTGCTATCAAAATGATAAATAATAATTGCCATATTTAGCCATTCTTACTAGTTAAAATCATAAGATTTATAAATCATGCAGTTTAATGCTTTAAGTAACAATATGATAAAGTATTGGTGTTATGGTTTTTGTATAGGAACAAAACATGGGTCAGCGTGCTTCGGACACCCGCGGCATCACATTCGAGGACGTTCGCATCCCCAAAGAGAATGTGCTCATCGGCGAGGGTGCCGGCTTCAAGATCGCCATGGGGGCCTTCGACAAGACTCGCCCGCCGGTAACTGTCGATACAACTCACTAGCGGCCGCATCCCCGAGGTCACGTGACATCTATAGGGCACCGGTTTCAAGATCGCCATGGGGCCCTTCGACAAGACCCGCCCGCCGGTAACTGTCGATATAACGCACTAGCGGCCGCATCTCCGAGGTCACGTGATATCTAGAGGGCGCCGGCTTCAAGATAGCCATGGGGGCCTTCGACAAGGTCCCATGAAGTGTAGCTCATTTTCATCTATCAGGTCCTCATCGCCAGCCTTTTAATGTCCAGTGAGGCCAGTGCGAATTACCGGATGCTAACGACTGCAGATGTAGCCGGAAGAAACGGCTTAACGTGCCTTCCGAAGCTCGAGAAATTATATTTTGGTCGCCCATCCAATACCCAGCCATGGCGAAGTTGCTTGATTTCCACGATCGCAGACCAAACATTTCGTGGCATTCCGTGGCTAGGCGCGACGAAGGCGACAGAGACAGATGCCTGCGGAATAATCTAGCACCGATAGGATTACACTCATTGCGATGCTAAGCATGGCCAAGATACGCAATATTTTGTCCTTCATCTTTATTGAATAGCTAGCAGTTGAATATTTTGCGTTACTACAAATCCGCTAATGCCACGTGGGTATTTTTTACACTTAAGAGGTTTTATTACACTGCACAACAACATTTCTGATGATTGGGTTATGTTATATGATATCAGTCCTTTTTCTCAATATTTGTCATAGTTTCCATAAAATTTGAGTCTTTAATTAATGACATTATTTGTGGCCCGTCAAAAATTCCCGCTTTTATCTTTTCTGCACTCAGTTTTGGAAACTTTTTTTGATAGAAAAAGTAAACAATTTCCATTTTTGTCAAGACCTTTTACAAATTGTTTAAGAAGGCCTAGTTTTATATGTAACGGTACGAAACACGTCTATTTGCCGACCGTATGGAAGGACATCCCCATTTGGCTCGATTTTCGGTTTATACCAGATAAGTTCACCAAGCAAAAATAACAATCATCGTGGTGGTTGACGGGTTCTTTCCATATCATAGCCGATTCGTACCTAAATCTTTTCCTTTTTTTATTTGTCTACAAACGTAGAAACTCAACACACGGTTTGCATACATTTTACGGAATCCAAGGCTTGTTTTTAATTTCCAGCGGGTGACCAAAGTAATTTTTGTAAGCCTCATTTACGAACTTAGTCACATTCAAACGGTATTCTTTAAACTTAAACTCTCCGCAAATGAAACAAAATGATTCGGATCATTCACACAAACTCGTCTTAACGACGGCATATTAAATTATATTCAGAAAACGAAATAATATTATTATTATCAGCAAATTAACATGGTCATATGTCAATTTTATTGTGAAAGCTATACAAGAGAGCTGTTACAAAAAAAACGAGGGTATATCTAGAATCAGCGACGTCAAATTAGTAAACATCATGTGATAAAACTAAAACATCAGACAAAAGTTGCAATTTTGTTGTGCAGTGTTATCTACAGAAATTTTCTTCGAACTACAAATATCGTTCGAGTGCCATGATCTATACATATAGCAAATGGACTCGCATGAAATTGATAACTCTCTAGAAATACAACAGCCAATAGCAATACGAATTATGGCCACACGATCAATCCAACTCTCGCACTTATTTGCTCAGTTTTTCTTTTAATATAATAATAATCATTTACTCATAACTCCCCAACATTTTACATTTAAACTATTAAGCTAATAAAGTCTAAGGGTATTTATATAAAAATCTGAAGAAATGGACCCCTAACCCAGAAACTAGTAAAAACTTAGTGATTCCTCGGTCGATATGAGGAATACATGACGTAACTATTTCATGGTTCTTCATGATTTATTAAAGGGTATAAATTTAAAGAAATAAAGATCACGCGTTTTAAGCCATGATATATTATTTCTATTGTTATGTTACGTACAATAGAAACTGCGTTTAAAATCTGTTCCAACTAACGATATTAAATACCCTAGATCTACCACGCGCGCTCAAAATGTGTCCCAATCAAGAAGTGCTTGAACACCACTCAAGCACATCTTGGTTCACAGTCACGCGCGAACCGTTGAAAAGTAAAGATGCCGTAGAGCTCCCTAAAAAAATAGGAAAACAATACTTATAGTATGTTAAGTGTCGTTTTTTCGTCAGGTATTTAATCAATGTTTGTAAATTTAACGCATTTGAAGCAAATTTTGTTCTATTACTATAAACTGATTTAATAGAAAATATTTGTAATATTCAAATGCATGGTCGGTTATAAAGCCGTCTCTATTCCTCGCGGTCCGTAACTGCTATTTTGCTAACAGCACATTCAGAATTGCGTGTAGAGACAAAGAAATAAGGTTTATATTCTTCCGCATATAGCAATTAATCGTAAAATTTTACGAGCTTGCATTTCGAACTGTCGTATCTCTTTGACGCATGCGTTTTAATGAAGACCTTATACAGTATACATTAAAGGTGACTTTCAATATTAAAATGATGCCTTATATTGTTTTGACCAAGCGATCATCTTTCGGAGCTCCGTGGATCGTTCAATGTACCTTTTGGACAGGTTTCGGCCACGATTTTGTTCGTGTTGGTGTATCGTTGGTTCCAACTTCAAATGTTTTTCTCATACATAGAGTAACATTTATTAGTCGCTTACAATTACTAGGTCGCTGCAGGCGCCACAGGTCTAGCAGCCCGTGCCCTCTACGAAGCGTCTAAATACGCGCTGGAACGGAAGACATTCGGCGTTCCCATCGCTTACCATCAAGGAGTGGCATTCCTATTGGCTGACATGGCCACCGGCTTGGAGACTGCGCGGTTGGCATGGCAACGCGCCGCCTGGATGGTAGATCACGGTAAGAATATCAGTACCCTTAGCACGAACCAATGTCTAATTCGAATAGTGGAATTCGATCTCGATACGCGTCAAATGTCAAGTTTTGTATGGAAATTTGAACAGAGCGCAACAAACGGACCTAACGAGAATCAAAATCCTTCCATACAAAACTTCTTGACATTTGACGGGTGTTGAGATCGAATTGAACTTTTCGAATTCGATATTGGTTCATGCTAAGGGTACAGTACCCCTAGCACGAACCAACATCGAATTCGTATCGTTTGCGAGTCCGAAATGTCATTGTCAAATGTGTACTGATTTTTAGTTCCCGTTACGTACTTTCTGGCGCTGCTGTTCAAGTTTCCATACAAAATTTGACATTGACATTTCGGTTTACAAACTATTCGAATTCGATAATGGTTCGTGCTAGGGGTACTGTACTAGTGATTGCTGTTTTTCGAGAGAGGATCAACCGATAAACAAATCTCTTCTCCTTGGATGGTAGATTGGTTTGAGTTACCTGAAAATCTTAACCAGCTCATTCAGATAACGACATAGATTATTTATCCGCAAAAAAATGTTTTTAAATGTCTTCACTTTAACTCACTATTTCTGTAACTATGAAACCTAAACAATTTTAATTGATAAAATTGTTTAAATCGAACTACTTTAGGATCTGCGTACTTTTAACTTATAATACAGTAATAGGAATGTTATTTACAAATTTGTGCCGTTTTACGATATTTTGTAAACAATATAAATCAATATTTTTATGTGGGCGTGTAGTACGTTAACTGTTTATTACTTTTCACACTATGTTTATTTACGATTTTTTAAGTTACTCTGGTAACTCTTAATTCGAGGTGTATATTTTGCTCCCTAAAAATTATATAATGAATTTTGATATCTCGTAGAGACATACTTGACTGTTGTCGATGATGTTTCTCGTCTGTTAGTTTCTACTTGTATTATTAAATTTCAATCGACTTTTGTAACATTTCATTCTCCATTGATATTAAAATGTGTATTTTTTTCCATTCACCAGGACAAAAGAACACCACATTGGCGTCGGTTGCTAAGCTCCACGCTTCCGAAATTGCGAACAAGGCTGCCTCTGATGCCGTCCAGATCTTCGGTGGAAACGGCTTCAACACAGAATACCCCGTAGAGAAGCTCATGAGAGACGCCAAGATCTACCAAATCTACGAAGGCACTTCCCAAATCCAGCGAGTCATCATATCAAGAGAAGTTCTTAATGCCGCCAAGCAAAACGCTTGAAAATACTAACTAATATATTTAAATTACAAAAAAAATATACCTTATACATTTATACCTTTTGATTGATTTTGTGATAGTTATTGTTGTTGGGTCTTGTGAAATGTGTGAATGTGTACTATTTTTAATATTATAATGTATTAAAAATTTGTTACATACATGTTTTTTTTATTTAATTACAATATTTAATGTGGGCCCTTTCCAATATTCAATATTACGTATAGACCAGGGCCGACGCCTTTGAAAATCATAAAAAGTGAAAAAAAATCGGAGCAGACTGAAACCGATATCAAAACACAACAAAAGAGGAAAACTAAATTTGGGTGATTTAAGGTCAGGAAGGGAATTAGTAAAATCGAAAAAAAAAACTATATGTTTCTTAGGTTTTCACGCACATCACTCATTAAATAAAATAAGTTTTTCATGGGTTAAAGCACGAAACTTTATTTATTTATTGACGTTTCGCAGCCTTTACAGGCTGCTTCGTCGGAATATTCTTTTTATAAATCAATAGTTTCGTGCATTAACCCGCGAAAAACTAGTTTTATAAAAAAACTATAGCTAAATTATGGTTAGTCAAAAGTTCTACAATATTGAAGAAAAGAGACCTCATGCCCTTACGACAATTCAACAAGGTAGAAAGAGACAACATGGTGTACCTTTGTTCTAATCAACTAAGAGGCAGCAGCTGCCTGTCAAACCTTTACTGAAAGTTTTAAAGTTTATTATGAAATTGTGTGAAACTAAGATAACAATTGTGCTTATACAATTCATTTTGTGTTATGGTATCCTGTGTTTAAAGCATATCTTGACAAAACGACTTAAAAATCACTCCAATCAAACACCGTAACGCACACAAGCATAATTTTGAAACACTTGCGATAGCTACTCTGTCTACCTTTACATCTTATATCTGTGGTATTTACACTTTTTCCCATAGAGCAACGCGGCCAGGAGGGGAGACTGCATTCACAGCGCTCCTTCTGTCGATTTTCCTCCGCTGTTGGCCCAGCTCTCCACTATTGTACGTGCATGATAATATATGTTAGCTATTTCGGTGTACCTTCACGCCTTATTACGGACAAGGATTCAACCTTTACTAGTAAAGCGTTCAACGATTTCGTTGCGTCATACGGCATTAAACACATCGAAAACATGTGCTGTGCTGATGAAAAAAATTGGGATGAGTACACTCATGCCATACAGTTAAGGCTTAATACTACGACATACAAAATAAATAAAAGGAGCCCTGCTGAATGACTATTTGTATGTAATATTACTAGTAGATCCCAAGGCATTTTAAGTGATATAATAAATGAAACTTCTAAACCCGCGGATGCGGAAGAACTGGTAGACATACGCGATAAAGCTAATGATAGTATTAAACAACAGGCGAAAGTTGTCGAACCCTTCAGCAAACACAGAAAACCGGCAAAATCGTATCAAGAAGGTGATTTAGTTAGGGTTCAAAGACAGCTTAGGTTACGCATGACGGTAAATCCCAAAAACATGTGAATAAATATCAAGGTCCTTATCGTGTTGTGAAAGTGCTTCCAAATGGCTGATACCTTCTTGAAGATACTCCTCTTACTCGTAAAAAAGGTCGACGTTATGAAAATATAGTAGCCGTAGATAAAATGCAACCTTGGATGAGTTTCAAGAAATATGGAAAGATCTGATGAGGCTGATTCATTATCGTTCTTTGTTTTTTATAAAACTTTGTAAAATGTAACTTATGTTTTTTTTTTTATATAGGGTGATTAAAATGTATGTATGAATGAATGAATATATTACACTACACAAAATACAAAAAAAATCATAAAACCAAAGGAGCGCAAACACAAAAGGCGGCCTTATTGCTAGGGTAGAAATCTCTACCAGGCAACCTTTGGCTAAGTGCAACCATACCATAAGAATATAAGTAACTGCGGGCTAGTGCATTGTAAAAATAAATAAATAATCGTAAATATAAAATAAAGTAAGAGTATATAAGGAATCTATAAAATACAATACAAAGTAATGAACAGATAAAAAGATCAGGCAGAGTCCAGCTTGGGGAAATATTCCTTAATTTTAATAGCAAAGGAGTCTCTCGTCTGTGCACGTTTAATATCCACAGGTACAGTTCCACAATTTTACAGCTCTTACATAGAATGACTTGGCTACGAAATCAGTGGAGTGGGCACGGATAACGAGAAGACCGAAGATCACGGACAGGATTAAAAGAGTGAAAAGTGAAACGCTCCTTAAGCTAGAGAGGAGTATGTGGTGAAAGAGGACAGAATAAAGGAGTGTTAGGATGTGACAGCCTCTTCTGCGAGAAATGGGTAGCCATTTAAGTTTGGAACGATAATGAGAGATATTATGGTCGTACTTACGCAGACCGAAAATGAATAAAGCATAAGGGACTGTGCAAAATGAATTTTAGTCTTGGTTGGCAACAGATTTTTCAGGCGTTTCAGCGAGCCATCGCACCAAATACCCTCCTACTACCTTCACCAACATGCTGGCTGCAAGACAAGTTATTTTCAAACAACACACCAAGATTTTTTAGTGTCCTGAATTGGTTTGTAGACGCCGTTTAACAAGATCGGTGGCAGAGTGCCTTCGTTAATTCTAGCATTATCCCAATGGCTTCATAAACTTCATATAAGTATAGCCTGAGTTTTGCGCGACAGACCGTGTCGCTGACTCCAGTCAGATATGTGTTCCAGATCGTTGTTGGTATCTGCTTATGTAAGTAGTATATATTTGGAGATCATCTGCATACATGTGATAGGAAGAAGAGAGAGGAAAAGTTATTGAATTTATGAAAATAGAGAAAAAAAGAGAATACAAGACGCCACCCTGCGGAACGCCGGCTGTTGTATCGCACCATGATGAATAATATCCATCCACGCATAAGCGCTGCCGCCGCCCATGCAGGTAACTATGAAACCAAACAATCACCGGTGGAGATACATTGAGTAAAACCAACATTGCCAATAAGATATCAAAATCAATCACATTACTAACATTACCTATATTACTAAAATCTAACAGTGTTAATACAGTGAGCTGCCGATTCTCCATACGTGGGTATATCATCTGCGATCTTGACAAGTGCAGTAGTCGTAGTATGACCAGGACGGAAACCGGATTGAAATGGATTTAAAAAGACTTTTCATGGAAAGGAACTAATTTTTCGAGGAATTAAGAAAGGAAAGGCAATATTTAAATAGGACGATAATCAGAGTAGGAATCCGGAATAATATTAGCTTCTTTTCATGCCGAAGGAATGAGGAATAACAGATGACGATATGGATTTATTAAGGATTTTGGTAAATACAGGAGTGAGGATATCTAGAAGAGGAATGATCATATTACGACTAATGCAGTCGCTACCCACGGCATTCGACGATACAGCAATGATATTCTTCTCAATGTCACACTCAATAAATTGTTTTATAATAAAAGCAGTAAAAGATGGTGTTGGCGACGAAGAAAGCGTATTCAAAGTATGACTTTTGTTTATTCCATTCATCGACGCAGATAGGGAAAGGAGAGCATTTAAAGCATTGATAACATTCTAAAGAAAATATAACTAGAAAAAATTCCACGCGGACCAGGCAGCAATTTAATTTTATTTAAATTTAAACATTAAGCAGTTACATGCTTTAAAATAATAAAAATTATAATTGATATCATTTTTTGAAGGATAGGTAGAGTTGCGTTTAGGTTTGCCAATACCTAGCTTATTGTGAAGGCGCCAAACTTTGGCGAAGTCACCATTTTCGACAGTTGTATGAATGTTTATTTTATTTATTTATGCCTTTGTTTATTTCTGATCAATGTATTGTAGCGATTCCTTATTTCCCTATATCTGGCACGATTGGCATCCGTTGGATTCTTTATAAATTTTATTTTTGCGCGTGTCTTTTTCCATTATTGTGTGTATGACCTCCGTAAGCCAAGGAGCAGGAACATGCTTTACGCGTACAGGTCGCACGGGAGCGTGAATATCCATCAAACGTATAAATACCTCTATTTGTTCGTCAATTCTGTAGAGATCATCAATTGCCGACCAATCAACTTTAACAGCATCTAATCGCAGAATATCGATATCCTTTGCACAGAAATTACGCAATAGTTGGATTGACGCATTACGTTTAGGGGACGGATTCCATACGTTAAATAAATTAAATCGTGAATTTTTTCTTTAGAGATTTTACCCTTTTGAGTATTAATGTTTTACAAACTTCTGCGATAATACTTGATTTCTTTAATAGAGAGATTTCTAGAAATAAGGATCATAGCTGGTCTTGTAAAAATACCTACCATAATCTCTAAAATAAATCCCTCTAACATTAACTTTTAAGTTGTTTTTTGCCTTAATGTATTTAAATTGAGTATAACTTCCCAAATCATCTCTTATTTTGACGAAATCGTAAAAATGATGATTCAATATTATCTTCTATGATAGAATTATTTTTAGATGCCTTTTTAATTATATTTCTGTATTGATTAGGAGGAAATATTTTCTCATGCCTTCTAAAACTTTTTCTATATGACCAAAATCTATGTCACAATCTAGAAAAGTATGACCTACCTCTGGAAATTTGTGTTCAATGGATGCAAACAATTAACGTGCATTCATGTACTGATATAACATATTTAGAAACTTGCCCACTGCAAGAATTTGACCACAGTAACAAGTTTTGACAACTATCTAAATTAGCAAAATTATTTATACAGTAAAAGAGTGAACTAAGAACTACTACACGGCCCGGCGTGAAACAAAATCGAAAAAAAAACTGCTCATCGGAAGCTGAAAGTAAAAAGATAGAAGTTTTAATATATAACACTAATCTCCACATATTTTTTTACCCTATGATGTTTTAAACTCATACACGCTTCTAATTTAATTTGGCAATACGAAAGTCAGGTAATTGCCCGACTTGCAATCAGTCGGGCACACTCTCACGCCGCGGCTACACTTTGCTACAACGTGTAAATATACTACGTTTTACCAAATAAAAAGCCCTATGTGTGTTTTTAGATACTACACAAAATACACGGAAACTATTAGAGACAAGAAAAACGTGTCATTTCATTCATAAGTACAGTTTTGAAGAAATTAATGTAAAAAATATTT